CACCTGTGCGCCAGGTTCTGCTGGAGAGAGCGGAGCTGAGTGCGTTTGTTCCGCGTCTTTTGTGATTATTTTTTATTTTTCCTTTATTTGAATATAGATAAAAATTTAACTCATGTAATTATGTAGTCTAAACCTTACATGAGAAAAGGGTAAAACACGTAATTTTGTTGGGAGCTAAATAACATTTTTAATGCGCCTTTGTTCACATATTTAAGCATGTGCATTTATCCAAACCTACGTTTGGAAAGTACTTTGAAAAGTAGCGTTGTAAAGATTTTCGTTATTTTCCAGAGTTTGTGTGATTCTGCTCTTCTAATCGCTTGCAACTAAAACTTTTTAATGGGCTTTCAGTTGTGAATTGTAAGATTCGCACTAGATAATGGGAGTTTAAATGTAAGTACAAACATTTCATTCATTTATTTTCAAGTATCTCATTAAGAGATGTTTTGCACTGTCTGCCCTGGTGAAAACGCCGTTTGCTACTAAGAAACCTTGGTTTCAATTATCTTTAAATAACCGTCTAAATACTTGTGTTCTTGTGTTTCCAGTTTGGTGTCTTCGGCCAGGACGGGCTTGGTTCAGCTGCTGAAATTATCAATGTAAGTATAAAACGTTTTATTCGTTCACACGTATCGTTATATATACAACGCTGTTATTTAGAGCAATCATTTTCTGCTAAAACTGCGATCAATGTCGTTTTTTTAATGAACATTATACAGGTTCATTAGAACCTGTTTTAGCTTCCAAATTGCATCAAAACAATTAGGACACCGGAACCTATAAAAATATGGATTGATTATTTGTGTGTTAAATAAGTTGTTTCAGAAAACATAATGTGCTAGACTATAATCGATAAACTCTAGTTGTATTGTGTCTTCGGTATTCACAATGTAACCTTTAAATGTAACCGCTTCAATACCCTGTTAAACAGGAACGTTTTCTGTTACACCAGGCTGAGCACTTTGTTTCAACTGGAAATCTTTTTCAACTGTATCAGTCAATACAGAAGCTCGATCTAACTGGGATAATTTCGAGATCCTGTTTGTAACAGAAAGTTAATACTGATTTCTGTTGTTTTACAGGAATTGCAACGAAGTTTCAGTCTTCATTCCGGTCGCTGCCTCGACTGATAACTCGGAGAAACAGTAACGTGCTGTGTGTTTTTGTTTAACATGTAGCTGCTTGCAAATGTTTTCTTACTCTGTTGACTTGTAACAGTATTTAGCATTAATGTAGCCGTGCTTTGCCACTTTGTAATTGAAATGCATGTTAATTTTCACTTCGAAGCTTCTGCATCCGACGTATTGTAATGCTTTGTTTTGTATGC